GAGATCTGCGACTTGCGTTTAATGTAGAACGGCCTTTGAGTTCCACTTTTGTGGAAATACGGCTAAAACCAGCGGCTGAAACCGTCGTAAAAAATTACAATAGGATGGCCGCTCTCAGGTTTCTCTCTGGTAACATATGATCGCCAAAAATCGCCTATAGTGAATGAATTATGTAGGCACGATATGTAAAGAAAACAACACAGCAAAAATATAGAAATAAATGAAGAATAAAATGACAATAGCATGTTATGCTTCAAATCTGCTACATTTTTTGAGCAAGTTCTGCTTGATTGATGCAATAATATTTGCATCACGGCATGACACATTTATGTTCTTTTTTTCTGTTTTTCTGTCGACACTAGTTGAAATAACAGATTATGTTTGAATGCTGGCTACATTGTACTGGCATAATGTGTTATTGCAGACTTTGCAAAATATGTTCATTCAGTCTTTGTTATCTGGGGATTATACCCAGATAACAACGACTGAATGAGCATATTTTGCGACTGCTATCATTAGGCTATCGGGGTCGTATACCCCGATAGGCAAACATTTGTGAAATTATGTGACCAAATCTTGCATGAAAATTGTAATTTGCAATTATGTAGATATATTTTGAGAAATCAATGTAAAAATATTGATCTTTTACAAAATATTTGTAACTGTTTGCAAAATTAATTTCCAAATACTATTTTGGCAAAATAATAAGGATATGGCGAATCATCTTAGCAGTATGTTTGCGAAATTAAATTTAAAAAGAAATTGATCAATAAGTGAGTAAAAAATTTCAGCTATATGATGTTTAAAACATGTAGAAATATAATTGCATATAAAGAAATCAAATTAATTCATGTATATACTTATGGAAACGCATAACGACTCTCTTCTCATTTTTGATACATATTGACAAAATTTTATTTTGACAAAACTGTTGCATTATGGCAAATCATCCCATAGTGTGCAGAAACGCAATAATACGGAAACATGCTTTGGTGCTGCCAAAACTGTTAGCACATAGAGACAAAAAAACGCAACAACTCTGTTGGCAAATACATGAGAGTATTGCGGCCAAAACAATTCCATATATGTTAGTGAAATTGATAACAAATAGATGGTCAATTGCAAGCAGATCTGCTTTTAAAAATACTGTGACCAAACAGTCCGCAAAACCGTATGAGCATCTAGTTATGACAAAACGATGACCGCAGTCGGGTCGATCTGTTGAACGCATTGACGACAGATTGCCAGCAAACGCCAAGCAGATCTGTTCGTGCATACGTGCGGACTATTTGCACGCAAGACTACTAGACTATCTGTTTGACATCTAGACTACAAAATGGCGATTATCTGCGATTGTATCTGTCGTCTGTATTGATAACAGATTGTTAACAGATATTGTACAGTATTTTACAGTTAGGCCTTGTTTATGCAGGCAATAACTGTTAACTTATGCCAGAACCGATAAAGTTCAACTGTAACATCCCTAATAGGCAAATTGTGAAAATATTGCACAAAAATGGCATTATGAATAACGACAATCCTGCAATGATTGCACTAAGATGATTCGCCATAACGCAACAGTTCTGTCAAAATAAAATTTTGTTAATAACATTTGTCAAAAACTGGAAAAAAGTCGGTATGCATTTCCATAAGTATATACATGAATTAAATTGATTTCTTCATATGCAATTATATTTCTTCATATTTTATACATCACATAACTGAAATTTTTTTCTCAATTATTGGACAATTTTTTTTTAAATTAATTTTGCAAATATACCGCTAAGATGATTCGCCATATCGTTATTCTTTTGCCGAAATAGTATTTGGAAAGGAATTTTGTAAACTACTACAACTATAAAAAATACTTTATAAAAGATCAATGTTTTTATATCTATTTCCTAAAATATATCTGTATAATTGCAAATTACACTTTTAGTGCAAAATTTCGCCACATACTTTTGTAAATGTTTTTCCTATCAGGGTATATCTTTGTTCAATATATATTAAAGTTATTTATTCTAATTGTCAATGCGTGAAACAACAAAATTAAATATTGGAACATAATATAGAAGTGATTACACTCAGAAGTCATACAGAGGATCAACTCCGCAAACAATTTCTGATTGCGCAGACTTGGCAAACAGAAACTGTTTCCTGAAACGCTACAAAAGAGAAACATGTTTTGGTGCTGTTAAAACTGTTAGTACGAAGAAAAAAGACGCAACAAACTCTGTCGGCAATATACATGAGAGTTTGTATCAATAGCAAATACATAAATGTCGATGAAGTTGACGACAAATAAACGATTGATAACAAACAGCTCTGCTTTTAGGAATACCGTAACCAAACAGTCCGCAAAATCATAGCAGCATTTGTTTACGACAGAAAGGTGATTGCAATAGGGTCGATCTGTTGAATGCATTGACGACAGATTGCCAGCAAACGCCAAGCAGATCTGTTTATGCATTCGTGTAAACTGTTCGCACGCAAGACTACGATTTTTAGTAAATATTGATCACTTATACTTAATTTAAAATATACTTAGAGAACAGAGCTGGAATTTCCAGTCTGGAAGAAAAATGCAATTGTCAATCAAAAACCTGAAAAAACAACCCTGATAGGAAACCATTTACAAAATTATGTGACGAAATCTTGCACTAAAAGTGTAATTTGCAATTATACAGATATATTTTAGGAAATAGATGTAAAAACATTGATCTTTTATAAAATATAAATAGTTGTTTGCAAAATTAGTTTCCAAATACTATTTCGGCAAAAGCATAACGATGTGGTGAATCATTTTAGCAGTATATTTGCAAAATTAATTTCAAAAAGAAATTGTCCAATAATTAAGAAAAAAATTTTAGTTATGTGATGTTTAAAATATGTAGAGAAATATAATTGCATATGAAGAAAGCAACTTAATTCATGTATGTACTTAAGAAAATGCATAACGACTCTTTTGCAATTTTAGACAAATATTATTTACAAAATTTTATTTCGACAAAGCTGTTGCGTTATGGCGAATCATCTTAGTGCAATCATTGCAGGATTGTCGTTATTCATGATGCTATTTTTGTGCAATATTTTCACAATTTCCCTATTAGAGAACGTGTTTTCTAATAGATTCTTGGTCACCAAAAACGAATCCGGCGACGAAGTTAACTTCCTTAATAGGCACATTTATGAAAATATTGCACAAAAATGGCATCATGAATTGCGACGATTTTGCAATGATTGCACTAAGATAATTCGCCATAACGCAACAGTTTTGTCAAAATAAAATTTTGTAAATAATATTGGTCAAAAATTGCGAAAAAGTCGTTATGCATTTCCACAGTATATACCTCCAATAGGCAAATTGTGAAAATATTGCACAAATATGACATCATGAGTGACGACGATTTCTTGCATTTCTTTATATGCAATCATATTTCTACCCAGCAAACAATTTGGTTGCGAGATGTCGCGGTTTTGTCGCCAACCGCCGGCGAAATTTGTAGACCAAATCTATATCTATCTGTGTCCTTATTAGGATATGGTTTGGCGACCATATCTGTCAAACATGTGATATGTCAAAATCATAA